TGTGTGTGTGTGTCTGCAGCTTGCATCGTGACCCATACTCCCCTTGCATCCCTTACCAATATAGTCTATTGCCACGTGCAGCCTGGTAAATAACAGGCCTGCATTTTCTTTCGCCCCTGCGTGCCCGTGGCAATCCACAAGGTGCAGCCACAGCTGGGCGCCCTTAGTGCTGGGCATTGGGGCAGCCCTGACTGCTGGGGGGATTCCCCCCCACCCTGTTCCCTGCAGCACAGCGCCCCCAGTGCCGGGCTGGGGCATCGGGGCCAGCCCTGACTGCCCAGGGAGAGCCCCCTGCCCTGCTCCCTTCAGCACAGCGCCCCCTAGCACCGCACTGGGGTATTGGAGCCAGCCCTGATGGAGGGTACAGTGTCTCTGCCCCGCTGTGGCTCATCCCACCTCTCTGCCCACACAGGACATCGTGGGTTCCCACCCTCCCAACCACCTCCTGGCAGCCCTGGAGCACCTGGCCCTGGAGAACACCCTGCAGATGCAAGAGCTCACCAGCCGCATTGACATTCCCCGTGACGTAGAGGCGCTCAAGTGGGTACCACTAAGGGGGTTGGCAGTGTGGGTGCATGGTGCTGTACGGAGCCGTCGCCCCCCAGTGGTGGTGGCTTGTACTGGGGGGCGGGTAGGGTGGCAGAGTCAGAGCTTGGGAGAGGGGCTGCTGTGGGGCTTTGGCACCCTGGTGGTGGCAGTTTGTACTGCAGGGGGCAGAGTCAGGGCTCTGGGGGGCTGTCACCCCAGCAGTGCTGCAGTGACCCATGGCACCAGTGCGGGGCCTGTACCTCTGCCCTCTGGCCTGCAGGTTCCGCTACGAGAGCGCCCGCCTGGAAGACCTGGCGGGGCCGCCAGCAGCCCTGCCCTCGGTCCGGGGCCTCATACAGGTGAGTGGGGAGGGTCAGGCAGGGCTGCATCTGGGGGCTCGGCAGTCCCAATGGCTAGGATATAGTGCAGGGGGAGGGGTGGCACATCTGGGGGCTGGAGGTTCCGGGGGCTGGGATATAGCAGGGGAGGGGACTGTATCTCAATGCTGGGGGGTCCCAGGGACTGCGGGGGGACCTCAGGGCCATATCTCCGGCTGGGATATAGCAGGGGAGGGGACTGTATCTCAATGCTGGGGGGTCACAGGGACTGCGGGGGGACCTCAGGGCCATATCTCCGGCTGGGGTATAGCGGGGGAGGGGGCAGTGTCCCCTGGCCCCTTCTTACCTGCTCCCTCCCCCTGGCTGCAGGAAGGCTGGAGCAGGTGTGAGGAGCTGTGGGTGCAACAGCTCCCCCTACAGGCCCGGGAGCAGCGAGGCACGGCCCAGCTGGCCTCCCTCCTGCAGGAGATGCACCGGCTGCTGGCGGACGGCTCGGAGCGCGCCATCCTCGCCAGGTAGCTGCCCCAGGCCTTTGGAGACACCCCGCCCCCTGGGCTCACCCCTGCACAGTTGGTGACCACCCACTCCTGGGAGACGGTCCCCTGCTGGGGAGACTTCCCGCTCCAGGAGTCCCTCTGCGCTGTGAGGGCCCCCTGGAGAGCGCTCCCTGCTGGGGAGACTACCCTGTTCCGTGGGGTCCCCCTGTGCTGTTGGGGCCTGTGGTGAGCACCCCCTGCCGGGGAGACATCCCCACCACCCAGGGTCCCTCCTGCACAGTCGGTGACCACCCACCCCTGGGAGACTGCCCCCTGCTGGGAAGATTCCCTGCCCATGTGGTTCCCCCCACCCCCAGACCTACAGAGTGCGCCCCCTGCTGGTCCCCATCCGCCCGCTGAGACGGCCTATCCCGCCCGGCCCCCAGGGCAGTGCTGGAGCTGCGGGCTGTGTGGCTGGCGGGGCTGCGGGATGGGCTGCACCGGGGCTGCCGGGAGCTGGAGCGGGAAGCGAGTGCCCGCCACGCCGAGCTGCAG